AATAGAAAGCACGTCCTTCAGAATTATAATCAAGTTCTCTACTTACTGTTCACCCATTTGAGGGAGGAGCTCGGCATACAAAAGCATGCCAACACATTTCTTTTCTTTGTCCTTATCTTCTTTTTTTAATATCTTCACACTGATTATTCAATTGTGTGAGTAATCATGGGGTATCTGTGCCAGATTAAACACATCATATGATCTATCTTCATTATCTCTGGGTGCAGCAATAGGCTACAAAGTTATAACACATGATCAGTATAAAGGTGTTATGTCTCTGGTTCAGACAGCCAAGCACACAAATGGTTTCACCCATTTGTTGTTGTTGCTGTGAACTCTCCACTTACAAACCCCAGCACATTTTAATATAAACCTTTTGGTTTCATAAATCGGCCAGTTTTAGTGTGTAAATGCAATTTTGAGCAGAGGCCTGAAAAACGAAAGGTTAAAGAGCTTTGCGTCCGGTCAGGGGAAGGAAACACAATGCATTCCCTGCTCACTGGGTACTCGGCCTGGCCCTTGTTTGAACCTTTCTTGTTCAGTATGTTTTCTGCTACCAACAGTGAGTACAGTTGTGTAATGGGGCCATTTTCCTTATTGTTTGACATTTTTCATACCAATGGATCCGTCATGACATAAAGAAAGATTCGTTCATTTTGCTGAATGAGATTCAAAGAACTGAGTCGGTAAAATGTCTTATATCTTACCACCCCCCCCCGTCAACGAATGACTGGATAAAATCTCTGGGACAAAACCAGTTGAAAACCCCTGCCCTAGAGGGGTAATATCCTTCTCACCTTTTTCACCCTTGACCCGTTTTCACGCCTGACCTTTATTTGATGTTAAATTGTTTAATGTATAATTAAATATATATGTATAATAAGAAAACTGCTTTTTCTTTGACTTTTTCAGCATGCAAATGAGGACGTTGAGAGGATGCTGCTAGGCAACAAGTGTGACATGGAGGACAAGCGGGTCGTACCAAAGGCCAAGGGGGAGCAGGTGAGACAATGCAGCCCTCTGCAGCCACTAGCAGCCAGTCGTCCTCATTCTGCATTGGACTTGGACTTGTTGCCGTCACTTTGCCGATACATTTTCACTTCACGTACATGAATCTAGTAAAAGTAGTTAATTACATTCCAGATCCATCTCTTAATTTAAAAAAACAACAGCAATGTAAAGTAGCTGAAGGAGCAGGATGGCTGAGACAGAAACGTGTCAGTTTTATTGAGAGCCAGCTAAATGACGACTGAAGCACGGCGTCCTCGTAGAACGTGTCTTTGTCTTCCCCACTGCGGTTAACAGCCCGGCTTGTGACGACGACTCAAACAACAGTTTCTTTTCTAAAAGGAATAGAAAAGAAAAGGGGAATACGTATGCTTACTATTAGAAAATGTGTTTGTACCCTCTCATATTAGAGGGACGCAGAGAAGACTTGTATATTGAATTAGAATTTTTTTTTCTCTAAAAAGCAGAGAACAGCTGGACTCTGGGCCCTTGAGCAGGACAACCACACCAGAGGGACGCATAACACTGACAGTTGATCCCATTCATCCAAAGAAATATCTTTTTGTAGTAACTCCTGTAGAAAGGTTTTTTACTCTGAATGTCATTTTAAATGAATATGAGACTGATTTATTTTTGAGTCTCCAGAAAAAATTCCACACCTGCATTGAACCTGCCTCAGAATCCGCGGTTCTCTTCAGGGTCTAAAGTTGCTGCATTCATACCTCAACAAAATTCTGCGTTGATTATCGGAATGCAAAAGTCCTGATAGTTGGTGAAACTGATGACACGGATGACGTGTTGCTGTGGCGATAGCTGAATGGGATGGATTTATTTTTAGGAAACGCTGACGATGGTCAAATATGGGGACAAATGACACATTTGTACCTTATTCAAGTCTGGTGGTAGACGTCAAAAAACGTTTTGGTCATTTGTATCTAAATCACCAAGACTTCAGTCATACGAAATCCAAAGAGTCACCTAGCAGCTCAATGACTAGAATACTAATTTACCTGCAATTCCACCGTGTCTAGACACACAAATAGGATTCATATTCTCTTGTGTTAAGGTGATCACTGGCTTCTCTTCCTGAAGGATGTTTAAATGTGAATGAATGTGTGCATTTGAATGAACAGTGTTTCTTTATAGGCATTCAAGGCAGATCGGCATTTTCCACTTACGTGAAAGCACTAATAGCTTGTGGGAAATGTTGCCGTATTTCCTTTTTATAGCTGGTGGGGGGCAGAAGAGGAGAAGCAGTGATGGTGAAGTGTGCGCTTGGGCTCTTTCTACCACGGCAAAGTGGCAGTGAAGAGTACAGTTATAGATCTGTTTACTCACACACACACACACACCCCCCATGGAAGTGTGTGTGTGCTGAACTTCGACCCTCGCTCTGACCCGCTCTGCTCTCCTCTCCACAGATTGCGAAGGAGCATGGCATTAGGTTTTTTGAGACGAGTGCTAAGGCCAACATCAACATCGAGAAGGCTTTCCTCACGTTAGCAGAAGACATCCTCAGAAAGGTGCGTGTGTGTTCAGTCATTTCTGGAAGTGTTAACCTAAGATAAGTTTGTTCATCCCAAGGGACAAACCAAATACAAAGTGGACGATGCAAATATAAAAGTCTAAGATGAGTAAAGATTTCATAGCATTAGTCATTGGAGGTTATAATGGTATTAGTATAATAAATGATTACATTTATTCGTGTGTCTAACTCCCACACGTCTCTATTGCAAACAGTTTGTACACAAAATATGAAAAATCAAGTTGAAATCTGAGCCGTGAGTGAAATGTTTGACTTTGGAGTGCTGGGAGACGTTTTATTCACAACTTCGGCCCAGTTTCATTAGAATGTGGAGCCTCGTCCCAGACGTTGTGTAAAGGTTCATCTATGACCGATAAGACTGTCCACACAGTCAAACACATAAAAGTGTGAGTCTGTGTGCGTGTCCTGGTCATAGTTTAGTGTCTGTTACACTGGACGACAGTAGATGTTCTGGTTTCCATGTTTCTGAGTTACTCGTCCTTCATCCCCTACTTGACGAACACTGTGTGGAGCAGTCAAAGGATTTCAAACCAAATAGTCTTATTTACAGAACGCTGTTTAAGGTACTCGGTCTAATTACACGCAGAGCAATTTATGGTAAGATGGAAGTAAACATTCAGCTACAACCAGGGACAACGCGGCTGAACCAAGGCAGCTTTACATAAATAAACAATCGTGCCCTTGGTCTCTATATATATCGAGCTGTAAACAAATTGTACATTTTAGTCACTTGTGGCTCGTTGAGGACACTGCAATGCTTAGATGACACACTGTGTATTCAGTATACACTTAAAACAGGAGAAAGTATTTGACAAGTTGTACATCTGTGTATTTTATTTGCCAGACACCTGTAAAAGAGCCCAACAGTGAAAACGTCGACATCAGCAGCGGAAGTGGAGTCACAGGCTGGAAGAGCAAGTGCTGCAGTTGAACAACTCTTCGGTTTCACTCATATGAACGCACACAAAACGAACGCCGACACACACACAGACACACATACGCACACAGACACATATTTCTCTTTTCTCTCTCTAACGGCTAACTCTCGCTCTCTAATATGTCTCATGAGTTTTCTTGCACACTGACACTCTTTATCACAATAAAACAATAAACACTCATCTTATCCCCCTCCTACACCATAATTCTCTACTCTCCGTCTGATGATCATTTTTATTTCTGATAAAAAGAGATATTCAGTCACGTTTTTTGTCATTTATTTTAAAAGTTGTTAAAAAAAAATTAAAAAATTAAAAAAGCGTGAAAAGACAAGCTCATACTTTTAATATTTCCTTTGCCTGAGGTCACCCACCCTTAACCCCACCCCACCCACGGAACTCGCACTCAGTCAGAGGAAATCTAAATAGAAGAAAATCAAACAAAAAAAAAGGACAAATGTAGGATTAACATTTTGTACACTTAGTGGGGTTTCTGTTGTCTAACAGTATTGGGTCATTTACAATTTGTTACCAAGTGACAGAGGCGTGGCTAGCTCCTTTTTGTATGTGGGGTTTATTTTGTCCTGTGCCTTATATGGAAGACAGGGGCGGGGCCGTGTGGTGGGTGGAGCCACATCCACCCGATGAAAATTACTGTTTTCAAGCTGAACGCTAAAACTGAAGCAGAAGGTTTGAATTTCTCCTCCAGCCAAGAGAACGGCATTATACAGTTTGTCCTGTTTTTTGATGTTTTATTTTTATCTGTATGATTATTTTTACTTTTTTTCCCTATTTGGGCCTAGTTTTTTTTTCCTGCATGCAGATTTTTTTGGGTTGGAAGCGTTCTGTAACGTTGTGTAACGTCCACTGGGTAACTGTGGGCGGGAGGTACAGAAGTTCTTTGGAAATTCAAACAGTTTTGCAGATCCATTAAAAATAAGCTTGTTTAAGTTAACTTGTTTGTCCTCAATGATGTCATTTCATGTTTAAAAACCCCCCCAAACAGTTGTATTTAATAACGACTGATTGGTCTGTTCGATTTATGTATCCCAGTAAGCTAGAGGCATGGAACTGTCCTGCAAAAGAATATACCATCGTGTAAAATGTTAAAACAAATTCATATTCATGAAGTTTGAACTCTTTGTCATAATGTAACATGTCCACAAATACAACAAAATCAAAACGCGTATAGCATATCGGAGAAAGTCCACATTTTAAAAGGATCACTTGTTGCTATACAATTACTTTAATATTGTTTTCATGTCAAAAAAGTAATTTAAAAAATGCTATTGTCCTAGCATGTCATGTAGTTCTAATATTGTACTAAAACAAAGTGAAAATGTAGCATTTAATTATTCGGGTTTGCAGTTTTTCTTGTTTCACATGAAACCCAGCTGAACGTGAGTGATTTGAACTTCTGGTCCAACTAAAGACATTTGGCTGAATCATTGTGGCAGATTAATCCAAACCATGGTCCAGTAGCCTGTAAAGTAATGAACAACACAACATGGTCGTTGTGTAAAACCGCTTTTGTTCTTTACATTCTTTATTTATCCCCTTCGTCATTGTACCAAACCTCCAAGAGCAACAATGTACACAAAATAAAATTCTCTCACATAAAGCCAGTGCAGAATGCCAGTGGTCACCATTAAGTCCTTAAACTACATTCAAAGAGCTTTTCCTAAAGCACAAGTACAGCGGGTTAAAAAAGTCAATATGTACGTCAGTCCAGTTGAAAATCATGACACTTTGCTGTAGGGATTCTAAAAAAAAAGAAAATAAAACCATGACTTTTGAGCCTCTGTACACGAGTACTACGGGATCATGTGGTTAGGAGCCGAGAAGCAAGGCACTTCTTGCCGGTGGTGTAAAACTGCCACAAATACAGATTTCAAAAGGCTTCAGATCTTTTTGAAACGTGGGAATTTGAAAATAGTCAAAAAAAAACAACGATTTAGTGCTTTGGTTGAAAGACGAGAATGAAGTCTTAATGGTGGTGAAAGAGGTTCCGTTAGACTTGTACCTATTCAGAGTGCTGTGATTTAGTGTTTGTGCTGAATGTACTTTGTGAATGAGAAAGAAAAGCAGACAACATTAACAGAACGCAGCAGCAGTGGACACTGAAGAGGGCCCGCCCTAAGATTAGAAATAAAATAAAAATCAGCTGACAGGGCACGAGAAATATTTACATCGACTGTACGCAACTTCATTTATAAATACATTTTAAGTATAAATTAGAAAAACAAGTCCTACTGTAGTTCAATCAGGTGATGCTACTCTAATTTTAAAAATGCAACTGATTATTACCCCTCTTTATATTTGGTGAAAGATAATCACAAATCAATAAAAGGCACAGCAATGAAAATGTAGAGCAATTTATCCCTGCACATTTCTAGTAAACAAAACTAAATCCCCATTGCAACAGACATTTATGTATAAATTAAGACACTAAATGGAATTTCAACAGACAAAAAAAGCCCACATTCAAACAGCATCTAGACTAGCATCACCAGGTACAATTCTCTTAAATAAATTAAGGCTTAAAAAGGGGAAGTCCTCAAAAGAGCACCCTGATTTATTTTTCCTCAGGCAGCAAACATAAATTAATAGCCACAGTTTAAGAAAAACCCCTTTCCTTCTTGCCGAGGGTTAATGTACCTTTGTGGTAAATATCAGAGCTGGGTAGGTTAGCATAACCTAAAGACTGGAAGCAGGGCCGAGCAACAAAGCCCCCCCAAACACCCCCCAGGGCCCAATGCGCTCACAGCAGCTACTTCTATCTATACACCACAGTAAAGAAGAGCAATGTTCCCCGAATCCCCCCCCCGACTATTCCTTTCGTTTGTAGTGTGAACTAACAGCTCTGATAACGTCTCTCCTGCGACCGCTACACGTAGACCAGGTCCCTGCTGGCCTCCCCCGGGCCCTCGGGGGCCGCCTCGTCCCCGTCGTAGCCCCCGTACTCGATGGGCTTGGGGCAGCTGTAGGGGTGGCCGTTGTCGTCGAAGAAGCGGCGGAAGGTGAACTCGTAGAAGGCGTGCTCGGGGTGCTTGCCGTTGCGGAACCAGCCGTTGAGCGTGTCGTTGAGGTTGCCGTCGCCGTCGCCGCTGCGCAGCTTCTCCGGGTCCACGGGGTCAAAGTTGGAGGTGTCCGTGGAGTGGGCGATGGTGGGCACGTACGGCGCCGCCTGCTGCCGCAGGTCGCTGGAGAAGTCGGTGTCCTTGAAGAACGGGTGGGCCTTGATCTCGTCGACGCCGTCTTTGCCGAGGCGCTCCTCGGGGCTGCGGCACAGGTTGGCGATGAGGTCGGACGCCTCGGGGCTGAGCTTGGCCGGCGGCGGAATGTGCAGCATGTTCTTCCAGTTTATCACCTGGCGACGGGAGGCAGAGGCGACAGTGAGAGACGAGGCGGCGACGCGGCGCCTTTCAAATGGCGGGTGCCTCACGTACCTTCATCTGCGTCTCCAGGGGCGTGGTCGCCAAGAAGGGAGGCTGTCCCACCACCATTTCATACAAGATGACGCCGACGCTCCACCAATCACACAGCTGCGTGTATCCTGGGAGGAGACATAAAGTCACGGCATTTGTTTCACTACCGCAGCATTTATCTGCACAGATATTTGTGCGAATGCTTGACGTCTCACAGTTGGGTCTCAAAGCGTCTTTTCCTAAGAAGTGCTTCTCCGTATTTTAGTGAATCAAGACTGGACTACTTCTGGAATGAGGAAAGATGAAAGGAAATCCCACTGTACCCGTCCGGAGCAGCACCTCTGGCGCTATGTAGTTTGGCGTGCCGACCAGCGAGTGGGCCAGGCAGCGCTGGTGCTGCCGGGCCTTCCTCCTCTCCAGAGGCTTCAGGCGGTCCGTGCAGCGGCAGTTGGTGGCGTCTTCCCATTCCTTACTGAAGTCCATGCTGTCCTGCCTCACGTGGTCCCCTGACGAATGTACAGGTAAATAATTCATAATAAACAGTACTAATTGGTGGAGAACACATTTTAACTACATCATCAGGTATTTGTTTATAACGGTTTATAAGAATTTTATTACAGATGACATTTGTCATTTGATTGTCCCTTGTTGAATGGCTAATACACACTTAAGAATCTATAAACACTATTTAACTACAGAGTGCATCCAGGACTGGTTTCTGGTCCATCCATCTATGGAATAACTGTTGGGACAAGTAATGTGAAGAATTCCACTCAGGCTCTGGGAAATTGTGATGTCTGATAAATGACACAACCAACATGGCGCACGGAGTAGAGGGGGCGCAGCGGGAAACGCAGGGTTGGCGCTTTGAACCCTGGCAGCTCCCTGAGCAAGACACCCAACCACTAAAGCCTAGTTTATGCTTGTGCGTTTTCTGAGACGCAAGGACACGCAGACGCAAGAGCCTCTTGCGTGTCATTGGGTGCTTTTTCACACCTCCCTGCGTGCGTCGACCCATTTTTCTATGTTTGCGTCAAAAGGATTGGTCTGTTAACTGTATCCTTTGCGGAGTCTCACATTTCCGTATTCATAGCCCGATACCGCCATTATTAAAACGAAGAATCAACCCGTCATTGGCAATAACGGCGCAATAAAGTCTATGATAAATAAATAAACAAACCAACAACTTCCACACACAAAGACGTGACTCTCTAGGTCGTCTTCGACCAAAACACGTTACTCGATTTGAAAATTGATGTCAATAATTGTTAGCGATAACAATGCGGTAATTACATTTGCTCTAATCAATATAATGAAGTAGACCATCATTTATTTTCTGTGGATTAGGGGACACATTTAACCTTTGCGGCGAGCGGATATTTGAAAAGTGACACCCACCACTCTGGTAATACTTTGAGTCGTGCGTCCAGCGGAAGCCGGTGCAGAGGCCGAAGTCCGTCAGCTTGATGTGTCCATCTCGGTCTATGAGGATGTTGTCGGGCTTGATGTCTCGGTGGATGAAGCCCATCTTGTGGACGCTTTCCACCGCGCACGTGAGCTCGGCGATGTAGAACTGAGCCAGCTCTTCTTTGAAGATGCCGAGCCGGATGAGGAGGCTCATCATGTCCCCTCCGGGAATGTACTCCATGACAAAGTACAGGTTGTCCCGGTCCTGGAACGAGTAGTAGAGACGCACCACCCACTCGTTGTCCGCCTCGGCCAGGATGTCCCTCTCCGCCTTGACGTGGGCCACCTGGTTCCTCAGCAGCACGTCCTTCTTGCGGAGCGTCTTCATGGCGTACAGCGCTCCCGTGTCCTCCTTTCTGGCCAAGCATACCTCGCCGAAGGCTCCGATGCCCAGCGTCTTGATTCTTTTAAACATGGATTTATCCATCTTGGCTCGCTTTAGCCGGATGTAGTTAGACTCCTTCTGGCAGAGCATCATGCGCATCTGCTCTTGAGCTTCTGAAGACAATCCAACCTGAGCGCCGGATAGAAAGAGGGAATTTCGTGGCCTCACGTCATGAAAAAAATCACACAATGATGCATAAACACATACTGTAGTATTGGTTAGAATTAAACTGGCATTGCGGTAATTTACTGACAAAGAGGGAAACCAGTGCAAACGACATATCATTATACAAACTTCTCTCGTGAGTAATTAATCACTTTAGTCCACATCAAGGGTGCATGAGCGGCCACAGGATGAGTGAGATGGAGTGACATGCGTTTTTCTTAAACCGCTGAGGCCGACATGCCGCACACTTAAAATACACAGACCCGTCTGTCGAGGACGGCTTACTTTGGTGACCGGCGTGTGCGGATTATTCTGCGTCACAGAGCAGCAGAGAAAACTTTACCTTTTTAGATCAGCTGTTAGCGACGGCAAGGAGAGAAAAAGAAGAGGAAGAACTGCTAAGAAACATTTACAACGGCATGAGAAGACATCACCTCAGAGGCGGAAGACAGCAGGTAACGTTTGTAGAGGGAAAGCCATTACTTGTGAAATGGAGCCACTCAGGACGACGTTCTCACCCTTTGCATTTCACTTTCCAGCTGCTTCCTCCTCCGAATCCTCATCTGATGGTTCTTCAGGATATTCTCCACGTGTTGCTCCATGAAGAACTTGAAGGCCTGGGGGGAGTAGAGTGCGACTCTCCCGGACTCCCCTCTCGGCTCTTCGTCTTTCTTGTTGCGGCGGACGGGAACGGGCGACGTGGTGATTTGCTTATTCTCTTTCTCCGTTGCGGCGACGCTCTCCACCGCCTTGTCCCGGGGGGCGTCGACGCTCTCCTCCTCGGCCGCTTCCTCTCGGCCCGGGCTGAGCTTATTGGCCCCGGGATCGTAGGCCGGGGGTCCCGGCGCAGCCTGCTGTTGGAGGAGATGCTTGGGATAGGGCGGAGGGGGGCCCTGGTAACTGGGGGCTTCTGCAACGACAGGGATCTGGGGTGCCGGGGCTGGGGGCTCTTGGTAAGCGGGCGCGGCGGGAGATGGCGGAGGATGCTGCATCCACGGAGGGTGCGTGGGAGCGACGGCGGTGTGCAACTCGGGCTTCTGGACACGCATGCTTTTGACCGGCTGCAGGATGGGGGCCTGCATGATGGCCGTGACTGTGGTGGCAGAAGGCTGGGAGCCCGACGGGTGGGCCGGTCTGCTGTTCAGCTGGTGGTTGTTGAAGGAATTTGAGCGCACCGGCATGTTGTGCTGCCACGATGGGGACAGATCCTGGTTCCCGGAGGAAGACTGGGGCTGGTTGGGGTTCAGAGGCGCCTGGGACCAGGACTGAGGAGGACCTATGTTATACATTTCCAGGTTGTGACTGTTCCGGCTGGGAACCATCATGGACTGAGGGATGTTCCCACCATTGAGGTACGAGGGGGAGGATGCAGGTCCTCCGGACTGCATCTGCTGGTCAGTGGGACTGTGCCGGCTGCTCTGGTTGAGTGGGTAAGGCGGAGGAGGCTGTCTACTGCCCCCCGCCATGTAATCGGGCTGAGGGGAGCCATTCTGAGACCAGCTGGAGGGGAAGGTGAACTTACTCACCCCAGAGCTTTGCATTATGATGGGCTGGTGGCCCACAGGCACTGGGCTGATCCCCCGTTGATTCTGAGGGGCTGACGACTGGTACCCATCAGCCCGGGCCCCCTGGGGTACCGGAGAGCTGCGCGGTAAAAGGTAATCCATGTTGCCAGAGTAGCGCTTGGTTGACGGGTTGCTGTCCCAGGATGGCGCCGTAGGCATGGCACCGCGGTTTGGTGGAGGCGTGACACTGCGCACCTGCGGCGGCAGCGGAGGATTGACTCTCTGGTTGTTGCCAGGGTGACCCTGTGGGAAGGCGGGCGGAGGTCCGGGGCTGTCTGAGCGGTACATCATTCCATCCATCATGAGAGGACCGTGTCGAGGCACCAGCGACTCCTTCGAACCTTTCCAGCTCGGCCTCCTCAGCACAGCCTGCTGGATATGAGAAGAGCCTACAGACATAAAAGAAAAACAATGGAGGTGAAGGGATGGAAATAAACCACAGCCTAATGTAGCCAAATACTTACACTAAGTTGATCTAAAACTAAACCTTGAACCTCGTTGATACCTACAAAATGTAATGCATGTCTTTTCTTGCGTGTGCCATTACAGTCACTATGAATCACAACATAAACCCGATTTCTTCCATTGTGTCATGCAATGACTCATTCTCTTTCTGTCAGCATGTATTGTCATTCATTTAACAAATCGAGATTCAAGATTGGACATCAAGATTGGATGAACGCACCTGGATGAAAAATGAAAGGGGAAACCAGGCATTTGGTCCCTGTGGACAGTAACGTACCTGCGGCTTTCAGAACTGTAGTGTTGGGGTTGGCAACAACCATCTGTTCCCACGCTGCGTCGTGGTAGCTCACCTTACCCATGTAGTCTATAACTGCCCCCATATTGCGACTTGGCTTAAAAAGGAATTTAAAGAAACAATTAATAACAAGCATTGTACGGAACTGATTTTCTTTTTGCGTCAGCTCTGCATCTCTTCAAGATTCTCGTAAATGGACTAAAGGTGGACATAATTATATAAATATAAATCTACTAGCACATTCTTTCTCAAATTGATGGTGGTGGAAAAACATTTACCCCCCCCCCTCCCACCCCAACATTTAACTCATTGTTAGTTCCAACTGTAAATACCTCACAACATATCGTGACATGTCGTGTCTGACTTGCACACAGCGTGTCTAAATATGCTGCAACGGCCTCCTGGAGGAACTGCTCCTATTGTCACCTTCACAAACTGGTTGCATACTTTGCATTTCTTTAAATAATTCTCAGGCGCAGTAAGGGATTGTTCTCAATGATAATTCTCTACAGTCATGGTGAGAATGAAATTCCTCCACTATCCTGAAAAAAAAAAGAGGGACCGATCTCATCTCACCTCTTCAAACCCAGACATGTGTTGGTTCACCTCGGGGCCCGAGGTACTGGTCTCGTTGGCAAAAGGCTCCAGGGATTTGCGGATCTCTTGCAAGGCCTTGTGGTGATGGTTTTTACCGTTGACGGAGCGCCCTTGTTGCCTTGGGTCCTCAGAAACCATTTTCCCAGCACCTCCGACGTCCACTTTAGGTGGGTCCGAGGGTTTGGACAAGTTGCGCAGACTATTCCTTATTTCCTGCAGCATGTGTTGGCTGTTGCCGCTGTAGTTGCTGGTGGGAAACGTCTTGGGTCTCATCTGTCTGTATCCTTCGGGTTTCTCCCCTCTCTTCATGTAAGAGCATGTATGATGACGATGTGAGGGAGGAAGAGGATGTTGCTCGGTCCAGGGCAGCAGAGGTCTCTAACATCTGACTTCACATCTGCATGCTGCCGACAGAGATGGAAGTTACAATGCGAGACACATGTTATGTGTATCAAACACAACATAAGCAAACAGGATGTGATGCACATTCTTATGTGATGATTCTTATGAGGCAGACTGCTAAATTCAGTGGATCATATGAGCCAAAAAAGTTTTGGTTAGTGTTTTGACGTTCCACTGTGAAATGAGGTTTGTGTTCAAAGCTTTGAGAAAAACAGCGCGCATCAGAAGAAAAAGTACTAACGTTATTATTTCACAAGGAGGTCACGTACACTTGCTATCGTAGTTAGCAGCTCAGGCTAACAGAACGTTACTTTCAAGCTAGAACTTTCCTCTCTCGTGTTGTAATAAATAATATTATTGTCGTTTGTCACATTCACCAAAATACCAACATCACATAGACACCCCTAAAACGAATGGCAAAATGGTGTTTTCCCCTTAAGTTAACGTTACACCAAGCGACGAAACAGTCCCTTCGCGGCCTGTGTGTTTAAGGCATCCATTTCTGCTAGGCTAGTTCAACAACAGGTTGCGCTAGCTAACGTTAGCTGCTAGCTCGGAACTCAACTGGCAACAGTTAGCTTGTTAGCTTGTCCAACAACTTACCCGCGTCGGGAAGGGCCGGCTTTTTTATTTTGACAGCAAACTAGATTTCCTTGACCTTTCACGGCGTCAATGGCGTGATTTTAACTTAAAATGTCCCTGTTATGCCGAGCTGGTTGGCCCTGGTATTGTTGAATTCCTGGGATGTCTGAATGACAAGTACAACAGGAAGAGGTTACAGAAAAACAGCCCACACTTCCGGTAGATTTCACAATAAAACGAGCAGAGTAACTCGTAAGCATAGATGTAAGAACTAAGCGATAATTATCAACAAAACACACACAAAACTGGCCTTTTAAAACCATCAACATTCGTGAAAATTCACCCATGTCACCCAGAGCTTTAATAAATTGACCGTCGTTAGTTCATCCTTCACTTTACTTGGAGTAAAGGGTAAAACTTACCAAAATTAAGCATGATCTACTGGGAAATGTATACTTTTACAACAAGACAGTAAAAAGCCTCATGAGACATTTGCTTTTATTTACTTATTCAAAACAGTTTTAGATGAAATCCATACAAAAGTTTTATCATTGAAATGCACTGCTTGGAGTTATCGACAAAACCCTTGAACCAGTCTTGACAAATAAACAGATCTCTACCCACAAGTCCCACACAACTCTTTCAAACTGGGACCTGTCTATTAACAAAAATGGCTTCTCCGTCAGTCCCACAGACAAGACATTGTCCAAGTACATCCAAACTGTTGACTGACAGTGTCTGGCTGGGCAGCATGTGAGTTGTCTCCAGACGGCCTTTACTGGAGTCTCCACTGAGCCAGGCGTTGATGAGCGACTGGTTCCCTCCAGCCGGGGCCATTGCACTGCGAGATATCATGCTGTTGTTCCTGCCACCTTAAAAATAAAGAGAAGAACGTTTCTATTGTGGAAAGGTCATCTGGATTATTATCAGTAGTATTTTGGATTTGAATGGTTCGTGCAAACTTTAAAAAACGCTGCATGCTATGAATATCCTCTTTGAAAAATGGACCAGAAAAGTTGTCTTTGACCTCCCTCCCCCCACCAGCCTTCACTGTGAGAGTGATAATATTTTCACATAAGTTAAAAGTAGACAGAATAGTTGTTTTTGCCTTGTAAGAAGGAGGGCATGTCTGAAGATGTGGACGTCTCCCAGTGCAGCAGTGAACCATCCTCTGAGCATGTGAACAAGTGATCTGGGTTGGTTGGGTGGAAGCGGACTTCCCACACTGGACAGAAAACCAAAGAAAAGCGTAAATAAAACAAGTTATGGCAAACATGAAATACTATATACAACCACATCAGGATTCATTCTTAGATTTCCCCCGATAATATCTTACTTTCAGCGGAGTGGGCCTCCATGAGAGAGAAGGGTGTGCTGCCTTGTCTCACGTCCCAGACACAGAGCATGCCGTCCTGTCCCCCGGTGGCCACAATGTGCTGTTGGTTCGGATGTCTGTCGACGCAGTGCAGAGGGACTCTATCCCCTGACCTGAAAGGAAAACAATGCATCACAGCCGCTTATAAAACTCCCAAACTACAGATCCGTCTTTTTTTTTGGAGACAACTGTGGAGATCGTACAGGGACAGAATCTGGGACGGTGCGTTGCTCTGTTGTCTGAAGTCCCACAGCTTGAGTTGGCCAATGGAGTTCACCGTCAAAATCTCTGTCGTCCTCAGGTATGTCACAGCGTGGATGGTGCTGCTGTCTGCATTCTCTGTCCGCGATTAAACAGTAAACAACAACACATTATTCTCCGTACCTCACATGGCCTGAAGACGCCACCATCTGCTTGGAATTGTAATTCAAGGGGGCTTCGGCAGCTTAATCTCAAACTCACCTATGACTCGAATCACTCCCTCCTGGTCGGCTCTGAAGACGATGATTTTGCCATCTTCACCCACTGTAACAATCTCAGGACTGCTGCACACGACACCAGTACATGGAGCGTTTTCACAGGGGAAACCATGAGCTCTTGGCCAGCGCTGAGCAACTGATATGGTCTGCAGTCAAGGGAGAGATGACATGGCTACATCTGATTACATGATCTACGTGATTTATAAATCAACACTTCATCCTACATGCACTAATAATAATAATAATTATTAATAATATTAGTCCCAAGGTCTGCTTTTAATGTCAAGAATCTGTCCCGAAGTGCATCAGAAAGAAAGAACCATTACCTGACTGTTTTGGTGGAGGCGAAAAATTGTGACTGCTCCAGTTGACGATGTTGTGACAATTCTGTCTTGGTCCAAAAACTGAAAGAAAATGAATAAAGTTTGGAGGTTTTACAAGAGTGTGATCTCCCTTTTTTTCGAGGTATTATGTTCTCTTTAAAAATAAAAAAATACAATGAGAGGAACAAATCCCCTTTATCATTTTGTACAGTATTCCGTCTGAAAAAAGTCAACTTTATTTGTTTCAGCTCAAGTACCAGTCTTAGGCTGAAACATTAGCTTTAATGTTAGATTCCCGCCGGTGTCTTACTTGAAGGTCCAGAACATCTCCATCATGCTTGTGTTCACATAAAAGCTGTGGGTCTCCTTCAAATCCATCGTCCATGTCAGAACTTCCATGATTCCCAATGGACCAAAAGGAAATCTTGTTAACCTGCAATAGATACACCTCACTAATTTATTCAAGCCCAGTTTGAATTTGTTTCCTCACTGTCAAAGTGGAAGTACAGGAGACAAGTTTATAGCAAAATACGAATATCCAAAAGGCCTTAAGCCACCAATCAGCCATTTGTCTGTAAATGGCAGGGATTTAGCACACATAGCCAGCCTTTATATTTTCGTAGTAACGTTAAAAAACAAAAATAACAAAATATGACTTCCCTAAAGCGAATCCAACATGTCATAATGCACAGATTGCACGCCATAACAACACCGTACTATTCACAACAGCTACAGTATGTGTAAAGAAAGTCGATGAGCAAAATCCTGTAACATTGTTTGATTATTGTTGAAATAAAGTGACTACTTGCCAACCTCGTTATCCCACGAGCCAGTCGCAAAAACATCTGGCTGCTGCAGAGACGCATGCGACACGAGCCTCCATCTGGTTTTACTGATTTTCTGGGAAACGTACTTGGCATTTATATTCTCCATAGGAACGGTTTTCAAACACTGTACATTAAATAGAGATCGCTGTTGTTAGCTTAGCATGAATGAGGCAAACCGAAATGTGCCCGCCTGCTACTTTGTACGTAACTACGGTGGCCGCGCAAGGTCAAACTATCAGATGAGGCGACTTTTTGCACATTATTCACGCATTCCGTTTGGGGTTACATTTTTCTTTTGATTCCTCGATCACGTCCGATTGCTCATCAAGTCGGATGGAACATATTATAAAACAACATCATTTTCTACACAAAATGAGTGAACTCAAAGTGAATTCTAGCGTTTTTTTTGTTCTTCAGAAGCTGAACCATTTATTTTACGAAATGTTCATAAACTACTTCCCTGAAGCTAAAAAGCTATACAGCCAGCTTAAATGTGCGTGCTTTTTTTCGTTTCCTATGTTTCTCCCCTTTGTCACTTCTTTATGAAAAACATGAATGTGTAACTATTATTAACTATCGCATTTCAATTACATAATTGATGATGAATTGATTAAATTTGATCAACAGCTAAAACATAAATGTGTATATTTTATAATGTCAAGTTTGTACATGTCCCTTAATTCCTTCAAATAAAAGACTTTAAGGAGTGTTGCACTCCACCTACCGGCCACCGTCGTTACTGCGGCAGCTGTGACCAAACATCATCGATGTGACCTTTCCTTTATCAATCTTAGCTGATATTAAAACCAAAGGATATTCATTAGGTTAAACAAATGTCCCCGTTCTGCTTTAGGGTGGGTGTTTAGTAAAACGTATTTGGATGCCGAGTGACGTCTCCGCCGCTCCACCGTCCGCTGCGGAGGTTCTCAGTTTCCTCGGGAAAACGGTCGGCGCAGGCGCGGCACTGACAGCTGCTGTCTACTTACTCCGCAAAGTGTGTTTAATAATGGCCTGGAAATCCGGAGGAGCAAGTCACGCAGAGCTTGTTAACAACCTCCGCAGTAAGTGCTACTGGTTCTCTTCGCGGAGGCGGCGGCAGCGACGTCTTTTACAGGCGGGTCGCCCGTTATCGGTTTAACGTTAGTTCCGCGGCGAGCACGCGCAGGCGGAGCGCGACGCTAGCTAGCTAGCTGGTTGCTAAGATATGTTGTTGTTGACCTCGCGCTAGTATCCTCCACCCTTTCACAATCTACGTCTGCACCATGCATGCAACCCGTCGCTGCACAAAACCCCGCAAAAGACAAATCACATCCGTTACAGAGCGTGTTTTGCAACTTAAATGTTGTGTGTGAGTGAGAGGCTAGCTTAGCCCTTTAGCCCTATGTGCGTCATTTGGGACGTTGCAGCTAGCGATAGCGCCGCCGCAATCTGCCCTGCCCACGTTCATTGACGGCCACTATCTCCTGAGTCGTTCCCTCACGTGGACGACTGCGAGGCTACGTTTCTATTCTGCCTCTTTGTTGTGATGAGATTGAGTTGTGTGCGTTCGGTCCACTGTGGCCCGTTTGCCATCAGAGCCACATGTTTAACTCTGCGGTCAGGCGATGTGCATTGGCTGGTTAAGAATGGACATCAGCGTTCAAGCTCCGATCGGACATGATAACTTGCATACAGATACGCTGCATTCAACTTGATGACATACTCAGACCAAAGTGTGCAAGTCCAGTTTCCATATAAAGTGTCTGCCAGGGCTATTTATATTCTATGCAGTCCGCGGAGGCTTTGCAGCAGATTTTGCGGACAGTCGTGGGCCATTTGCTTCTCAACAAAAGCAAACGCTGTGTCACGCAGGCTTGAATAAAATGCTGCATAGCGAAAAGCATTGTGATGTCTGTCTGTTTTGCGAATGCATTTCCTTTTCTATTTCGAACAGCTCGCTGGACACGAAGTTGGCATGGTGTGGATTTAAGCAGGTCCCAGGATGCATGCCAATTCACCACATTTCTAAAATAGTCCTTCGGACCAGTGGACATGCCTGAAAGCAGTAATGGTTCACCCAGTCCAATTTGTTTTTAAACCTTGACTGCTTCATAAGTTCTTAAAGTTCAGCACCGTCAGTGGGAAAATAAATGTTCCTCTGAAATGAATCCTTCATGTTAAAGCCTTGACGCAACATGACGTTTGTCTGCATCACAGAGGGACTTGAAACACCTTGGAGTCTTCCCGTACGGCTTGTTTTGATTTCCAAAATCACAATTAGGTGTCCATCTAGCAGCCCTTGTGATTGACTCATCCTAAAACTGCATGTGACGAAGGACGGGGGGTAACGAGAGCAGCACCGGCTGTCATTGCCTGTTCCTCCCGTTGGCACGAGCGGCTGCAGGCTTGTTTCCCAAGGACTCAAACACTTCTTTTTGGAGCATTACTCCAAGGGTACCACAAATTGTAGTAATTGGTTGTGTAAATGTCTAAAATGTCTGAATTCTCTCTGTTGCATCTGCTGCAATGTAAGATATATTTCCATCCCCAGAAAATGGAATCATCAAGTCCGACAAGGTCTATGAAGTCATGCTGGCCACAGACCGAGCCCATTTCTCCAGGTGTAATCCCTACATGGACTCTCCACAGTCAATAGGTACGTCTGCTCACCACCTTCATGCGTCGCGCTGCCGTCTGTGGGAGGAACTAACAAAACTCTCTCTCTGACCAAAAGGCTATCAAGCAACCATCAGCGCCCCACACATGGTATGACGTCAAAACCGGTCATCGCTGCATCCTGTGAATCACAGCAGTTTTGTTTTTGGTTGTAAAGCTTTCCTCCCTCCGTCCACCCAGCACGCCTACGCCCTGGAGCTTCTACACGACCAGCTGTATGACGGAGCCAAAGCTCTGGACGTGGGCTCCGGCAGCGGAATCCTGTCCGCCTGCTTTGCACGAATGGTGAGCCACGCGCGCCGGTAAACACATACAATCTCCTTTCGGTGGCATTCTGATGGATTTGAACTAATTGATTAGCTCGTCGACCAGTCGGCATGAAATGAGATGAACGCTGTCTGTTGTGGCGATGCCCTTGTATGAGCTGAGCACCGTTGCTCCCTCTGTGCTTTACAGGTCGGAGCGAAAGGGAAAGTTATAGGAATTGATCATATCAAAGAGCTGGTAGATGATTCTGTAACTAATGTGAAGAAAGATGACCCCAGTTTGATAACATCGGGCAGAGTCAAGCTATTAGGTAAGACGTCTTCGATGTAAGGTTGAGTCTGATCTTGTTCTTATGACTTGTGGAAGTGTCTGCTGTTATTACCCAACAATGCACAGTGTGATGCTTCTTAGCTTGGCCTGTCTAGAAGGCAACCAAACTCCCAACAGTTTGAATGAACTACACTAACTAGTCTTTTGTAGCGGAGACTATAGCTTAGTGCATCTACACTTTTAAATAAACGCAAACAATCTCAAAGTAACAACAGAAGAGATTGTATTTTGGCTATGATATGATCTTAAACTATTTTAAAACATCAATTGTATATTTAGAAGTCTTCTGTGTTCGTCTACTTTCTCGAACATATCCTCACATTACTGATACCAAATGTAACTAACACGTGAATGGACACTATGGCTTTGAGACCTTTTTGAGTAAATAATCAACAAGCAAATTGAAACTATAATCACTGTGTGTGTGTGTGTGTGTTTCAGTGGGAGACGGGCGAATGGGCCACACCGAGGAAGCGCCTTACGATGCCATCCACGTTGGTGCAGCGGCCCCCAATGTCCCCCAAGCGGTGAGTCTGTTTGAGTGCCCACAATTCACCTCCCAGCAAGAAATCAACGTCGCCTGATGCTTCAGTCCTTTCTGTGTCATCATGCCGTTGACTCACCCGGTTCCTCCCTCAGCTCCTGGACCAGCTGAAGCCCGGCGGCCGGCTCATTCTGCCCGTCGGCCCGGCGGGGGGGAACCAGATGCTGGAGCAGTACGACAAGCTGGAGGACGGCAGCACCAAGATGAAGCCCCTGATGGGAGTGATTTATGTGCCTTTAACAGACAAAGACAAGCAGTGTTCCAGGTGGAAGTGACTTCTCCCTCCCCCCCTCACCCCTCCGCCTCCTCTCACGGTCTCCTCTCACAGTGGAAAAGGTGAACTGGTGTGGCTTGGAGCCGGCAACAGATCACGACAGGGCTGCGCTTTGCTGCTCTTTCTGGCTTTTTATTTTTGCTTCGTCCATACAAACTCACTGCACATTTCCTCCGGTTCTTTTTTTATTTTTTTTAACCACGTTGTTCCAAATTGGTTCAATAAAACCAGCCTTGCAATGGTTGTTTTGGTTACTCAAACGTGAGATAAGCTGACACAGCAGCCCTGTGAAGGCTCATGCTTGGTTTGTCCAGAGCATGACTACTTTCCCAATTTGATTGCTTAAAAGACACTAAAACCAAACTTTGATCTTCTGTGAGACGTGAACAAAAAAAACCCATTACCGTAGGAATTTAACGCACGTCATTGTGATTCTGTTTTTGCTTGGGTGTTTCCTGCTCTTCCCGTTCTGCCTTTCCTAACCTTTTTGATTTCTGTCGCAGGGATGAACTTTGAAGAGGAAGACGGTCGGTGATCCACCTTTAACGTTTTGAACCCGGAGGGAACCAGGACGGGGTCAATTGGGTCGAAAGCGTAACAAAACATGCTCTTTTTTTGTTTAAGTCTAACGATGGACTAGAGTATCGCATTGTCGACAGCCCAGGCGGGCCGTGAAGAAAGACTGCTAAAGCTCGGCACAGAAAAATACTGAGAGACATTTCTTTTTTTTTCTTTTTTTTCAAGCTTGCATCTTTTGGTCTGTGTATTATTTTTAACTGCTGGATTTAAGGTTTTGATTGTGTTCTTTTGTGTTTAGATTTTTTTTGGGGTCACCATTGGGGTCACCATTTGAAATGCAATCAGCAATTTCTACATTACTACAATTCAGCAACATCAAAGCTGAACGTGGGAGGAACGCTGGACAACGACCTGGAAGGCCTGAATCTTTACATAAGTCAAGTAGCTTCCGTGTGCATGCGTGTGTGACTGGATCATCCAACTATAGACCTTTCTGCTAACCTGAGCTCTCCCCCTGCCAGCAGTATTGGGAACATGCACACAGGCAGCACTATGGCTGACCCACACAACCTGTTTGATGAGCAGCACTGTTAACGTTATTCTACACAGGGAATAAGCCACACGTTGGATCACACTGGATATCCTCCAAAAAGAGTCATGCACTAACAACAGCGTGCACACGCGCACACACACACACACACACACATTCACACACATCCGGGGCTGTGCTGGCCACCTGGCCGTGTTTTGCTTTCTGGCGCTGGTTTTCCATCAGAGAATGAATGCAGGCTCTTTTCACTGCTTTGCCAAAATAAACTTCAACGATATAAAGCAAATGAATGTTTTTGTTTCTCTAAATCAAAAAGCACTTTTTATTTAGGGAGAAGATGATGTATGGCTGTCGGACTTTATGGAATGGCACATGATGAAAATAAAGAGATGCTTATATTTTTGTCTGCCTTTTTCGTTGTTCAATCTCTTGTGAGTGGGCAGCAACGAGTGTTTGATTCACATTTTCTCATGAGGTCGGACTGGAACAAGTATGTTAGAGATGCTGACTTCAGGAGACCCAATACATTTATGACTACTAGGGCTGCAACTAACGATTATTTTTATAAGCGATTAATCGGCCGATCGTTCCTTCAATTAATCGATAAATCGGATAAAAAAAACTGCATTAAAAAGCTTTAATTTCCAACCCTTTATTCTAAAACAGACTTGCAAATCCACATTGCAACAATATTTCAGAAAGTACAGGTTGCTCCTTGAACATAATTTATTTAAAAAAATAAAGAAAAATAAAAATCACAAAATGTAACAGGATTTGTTTTAAAGTCAGAACTTGTTCTCCATACTACACTCACCAACTCTCACTCACAAACACACCCCCATGTTCATTTGAAGCCTATTCATTAAAATATTACCATCATTGTAGTGCAAGTTAAGTAAATATATACTTAAGTGGAAGCCAAACATGTTTAATGAAATAATTAAGCGCGCCACTTATGTCTTACGTCTTATAACCCGGTGGTGTTTCTCCGCAACCCATTGGATGACGTAATAATCACACAACGAATCGATAATAAAATCCGTTGCCAACACTTTTAATAATCGAATTTTATCAATTTCATCGGTTCGTTGTTGCAGCCCTTATGACTACCCAACAAAAAACTCTTCTTTTAGGATAATGGATGCTTTGCTAAGCTTCAATTTATTTTTGTAATCCTTTCCCCTAATATGACTGCTTAACTGCATAATCTTAACGGGAATATAGATATAAGTAATATAGACTTTGAAACAAATGTTACATATAATTTGTGTGTAATTGTGGAGTGGAAACCCTTGAATCTTTAAATTAAGCAAACAACTAATAAAGATGAATTAAAGCTCTCAGTTTAAATCAATGGTAACTTCCTTATGTGCTGTGGGAAAAGATAAATTGTTGCATTTTTGTAAATAACTCAGTCAACAGGTCGTACCAGTTCTTTTTTGATATATAACACGCTTTAATATCACACAGCACTTTGAGGGTATACATGAGTGCAAATATAGTTGATACTCCAGATAGGTTTGGTCAAATTTACAGAAAAATGTTAACTCAGGTGAAATGTACAGTGCAACCGTGCCACATTAGTGCCACCCAGTGGCAAAAATCACAGCATATTTTTGTGCAAATAATAATGTTTGATGTCAAATTAACCTGCCTTAGAGGAATTTTAATAAGGATGAATGCTCTCTTGTACCGTATGGTAAATATGGATTAACAAGCGTCTAAATGTATGCCAATGGCTTTAAAGGCAGCGTCTGCAGCGGATTTACCAGTCAGAGGAGTTCAGTGTGGCTATGTGCACAGACGTTCATGACAGCAAAGAGTTGGGGGTGTTTCCCATCTGACGGCAAAAATGACAGACGCTGGGCTGCAAGAAACACAGCGTGCAAATTCAAAGAGGTTCCGGCTCTGGTTGCGGTGTTGTTTCTCTTTTCTCAGATGTCTACCCACGGCCGATGGGCTACAGGTACATGCCGTTGATGAGGTAATCAGACTCCTCCGTGGTGAGGGGTCGTGCCTTCTTCAGCCTGTGTCCAACAAGTCTGAGGCGACAGCCAATCATGAGCAGCAGCACAGCAGTGATGATGAGGCCGAGAGTCAGAGGAAGGATCGCACCTTCGGGGCGTAACAAAGGCCAAATGGAAAATAAGGGAGAAAATGACACGTACAAAAGAACAGAAGGTACATACAGACCTAAACCATACCTGACTCTGGTACTGGATGCCCTCCCATCCCTGGAAACGGTTTGGATACGGGCGCGTTGCTCTCGGCCCGGCTCAGGGACACCTTTGGGGCAGCTTTGAAGGAAGGTACGTAAAGATGATTCAATTTTGAAACGCTTGTATTTGAATAAACTTCAGTTGAAATACGCTTAGGATTTACCAATCTCAGTCTGTTTGGTGATTGGAGGAGCCACAGTCGCTGGTTTGAAAGCTGGACCCATGAAATAAAAAGAAGAATTATTTAATCATTTGAATTTAATTATAAAATGAACGTCAAAAATAGAGGGACAAGAAGCAGATTCTCACTCTTTTGGATACATTCACTGACACAGTCAGTTTCCTGGAGGAAGTTGTTATGGTTGCCCTGGCAACCGCCATATAGGAAGTGTTTGCACTCTCCCGCATTTTGGTCATAGTACCAGCGTGGGAAGGTGCCTTTACAAGGTCCGACAACCGGAGCCGCAGCACACGGACCTGCAGCAGCAGAGAGAAGGTCGGCACAATAAACCTTTCTTCATCCCACTGAAGATGAAAAATAATGGTATTTTTTGTAAAGGATTGCATGAATACAAAATAAACCTAAATATCTCACATGACAGAACAAAAGGCAGTGAATCAATGCAGTTTTGTGTAAGATGACCTGTGTGGATCATAGGAAGTAAAGTTGCAGCCTAAGGAGAGTTAATGTATTCCCATCAACACCAATATGCACAACCAGCCAAGAGCCATTTCTGTCGCCCTGAACAATGAGGGATCCTCTCAGCTAGACAAGCATTTCGATATGAGACCAGCATTCGTGAACTGACGAAAAGACTCCTGAGAAGGTAATACCTGCTGGAAAAAATACAGATGAAGGGGGCGAAACCCTTTTGGTCGGTCTGAGCCTGATCCAGGGATCAGATGGCGGAGCGGACAGAGGGGCTTTGTTCCGGTCCTCAGAGAAGACGCGGGCAAAGAGCTGCTTTCCCAGCGATTGCTGAGTGGCCCCGTGGCTTTGCCAGCCTTTTGAGCTCAGCCCAATGACTCAATGGCTGCCTACAGGGCCTCCATCTGCTGCTCTGTGCAGACGTGTCTCTGCCTCTTTACAAACAGGGTACCGCACTAGCAACACAGCGATATAGGATGATATTGTGAAGGAAACATTTGAGCGGATAAAGTGAAAGAAATGCTTGTGGATCGCCATCCAACCAGCTATTTGGAATTGGCACTCGGTTTTGTGTGACACAATATTTCAATCTTTTTCCGGCGTTATCACCGACATGTGCACAACTTTACCGTGACTGTCTGAAGGGCCCCCTTGACTGGGATTTAGAGGGAAAGCGGCCTCGCTCCTGTCCTGAGGTGGCACAAGGTTCTCTATGTTTTTTCTGGGTCCAGTCTGGAGCACGGAGCCGTCCTCCGCCTCCTCTGGCTGGGATACGAGACCGTGGCGGTTTGACAGATCCGCAGGGTCGGTCGACGACTTCCTGTTGCTGTCAACTGGAGAAATCACAGAAAAACAAATAAATGAAAGGGTGTGTGTGCGTGTGTGTGTGTGTGTGTCTATAATTCATGCAAACTATTAACTGAACGGTTAAAAAACAACAAGGCGTTTCTTACAGATTGGGCAGAAGATTTCATCAGAGCGGTCTGTGCAGTGTTGCTTCCCATCACAGGCAAAGGTGATGTCAATACAGCAGCCGTCATCACACTTGAACTGGTACTTTGAACAGAAACCTGTGCAAACTGTGGCCACAAATACGTTACAGTCATACATCTTGTAATAGTCTGGCACTGGGACCATATAAACGCAGCTTTTGATGATTTGAAAAGGGTAAGGGTCTTTAATGTTGTAGTATCATTGCTGCTACCATTTTCACTGGTTGAGCAGCAATTTTTCACACATTTCACACTGTTGGGAAATAACTATAACCTTGAAAGGAACTCACAACGCAGATAAATGTTTTGCGGAGCGCTTCACCTTCTGCTTGGTGTTTCGGTGCCAGCACAGTAACAGAGACGTTGTCGGAGCTTCTCTGGCCCGATGTGTCGGTGACAGTCATTTGGAAGGAGTAGACGCCCTCCTGGAGCCCGCTGACCTTCAGCAGCCCCGGATGGGTCGCCTTCAACGCACATAGGAATATACAGACGTCAATGAATCACATGTGCACTAGATTTAGAGAGTTTGCTCGCGGTGTACACTAAAATATTGGAATAAATTGAGAGAAAAGCATTCCATGTATCTTTTGTCAATTGACTCTGTTTCCTCCGGTGAGTTTTTTCAGGCTTTCAATCTCAAATGAAGCGCCAGAATTTAAACATTTCCTTACAAGATAACTTGACCATCGGCGTGAACTGACACTGACCTTCATATTGATGGCGGTGTCCCCCTTGACGAGAGTCCAATCATATCGGTTAATCCCACGGTCGTCCACGCTGTCCCGTCCATCCAGGACGGCCCAGTCTGTGGGCAGCTGGATCACCACGTCCTGTCCGGCGTCACTGCGAGGAGGCTCATCCGCATCTGCAGCATCGCACAGGAAAAACCACAATGCTATAAAGGATGTGTACTACATGGATACTTTATTTAGTTGTTGTATAATATTAGCTCATCACTGTATTGCAGAATGATGATTACAAATAGAGATGTCTTTACTATGCTTAAATAGTGCATTTGAATATAAGATTGCTACGCTAAAAAGAGATGCCTTTGTTTGATAAGTAATAGTTCAAAATCCAGTTATTCAGTTGCGAATAATAACTTAAATTATCACCAAATCCTCATTTGGAAAAAGCTGAAACAGGATAATAGTTGCTATTTTTTACTTTACTTCAACAATAACCAATCAGGTGAAAGGACGTTACATAGTATTGTTTCACTATTTCTATAACTCAGCTACCCTTGTCTTGCGTTAGTTGAATCCACTAAAGATAGAAGTCATATTGCCATACAAACACCTGCTGCAGGTCCCAGTCACATGATGTAATTCGGCAAATCATTAACTGAGTCTGGATGCTTTCTCAAGATTAGAAGCAGTTGCCACATACCAGAAAGAATAAACTGGAGAAGACTGGAGTCACGGTTTCTTTAGCACAATAAAGTTTTACAAACCAAATCCGGCCCTCAAAGAAAAGTATGGAATAATGTCTTTGGAAGGCTGATTTCTGTTCTTTAGATATGAGTAATTATTGCATAAGCCTCCCACACTATGCCTAATGCTATATGATACATATATAACAAAGTGCCATATTACAAATCATCGTATAACACTGCTTTCTACATCATAAGTCATGTTTCTATCTGCATAATTAGTAAAAAAAAATGTTAACCTTTATGTTGTGCTCCCACTATGTTGGGTAAAATATAACCTATAAGGGTAAAGACGGATCTCTTGTCCATAACTCATCAAATATACACTTTGCCACGCAGCTTTAATGAACCACATTGTAACAAAGAGCCGTGCAGGATTTTAACCACAGAGATGAACCCCATGATGCTGCATGAACATCCCCATCACTACCAACCACACAGACCGATACCCCCCTCCTCCCTCCTGCTGTTGTGGTTGTTGTTGTTGTTGTTGTTGTTGTTTTGATTCCCCCACCTTGTGCCTTTTCCTCCCCCGGGCCCCTGGCTGCACCGCCGGGGGACCCGGGGAGCAGCGGCCCCTGCGCGGTGGCGTTGGGGCTCCGGCTGTAGGTGGTGAAGCCCTGCTGCGGGGCGAAGCTGCACACGCTCGCGCCCCGGTAGGTGCAGTTGAACAGGTAGCAGCTGAGCGTGTCCCCGAGCTGCCTCCGGTCCTGCTGAACCACCGCCACGGTGCAGTGCGGCTGGGAGCAGCAGGCGCGCACACAGTCCTTCCAGGTGTACACCCTGTCCGGGACCAACAGGAAGGTGGCCCCCCGCTCGATGGAGGCCTTGGTGCGGATGATGCGCTCCCCGACGGCGTCGAAGTCGCCCGCGCAAGAGTCGAGCGCGTCGCCTGCCCGGCGCGTCGGGTCCTGCGTGAGCTGCTGGCGGAACTCCTCCAGGAGCTCCTCCACGCCGGAGAGCTTGGATTTTAAATCCGATATGGGCAAAGATCGGGCGTCGGTGCGTCGGAGCGCCGACGACTGAGCGACGCAAGCGAGCAGCAGCAGCAGCAGCAGCCGGGGATGCTGAGAGAGAGCCATGTTGTTCGCGCAGTCCTTCCTCTGCGGCCTCCGGCTGGTCTCCGACGCGAGGGAGGGAGGGAGGGAGGGAGGGGGGAGGGACACGGCTTCCTACATGCACCCGAGGTGCATGTAGTGCTCATGTACAACGCAGTACTTTGACGGGGAGTATTCGTACTGCGGGCCGTTTGTCCTCTGACGATGCTAGAAATCTGTCGTTGTCATGGTGAAGGGGGGAGGCGGCCGCGAGACCGGAGGGCTGACGTCACAATGATGGGTGCACATGGCGAGGGGACACACCTGCAGCTGTGTTTACCTCCCTTCTCTCTACCTTATAATGGCGTTTGCTCTGAGATAAATGGGCGTACTGTACTTTCATTTGAACAGTAACAACCAGTTTTTATTGCTCTAAATGATTTGTTTTTGTAGTAATAAGTGAGACCCTTGTCTGACTTCTATTTTAAAACGTGATTTTTATAGTTCTGTTGCACATTGTATTGCCCATGAGATTAGTCAAGTATGAAAGCTACATCATTTATTTTGAAATGTTGTCTTCTTGCCTCATACAGTATTTGTGCATAGCCATGTTTTGTATTTACTAAAGGTAATGCAACTTTGCATTTTATGTAAAAATAAATAAAATAAAACGATTGTGCTAATTCATGGCATTAAAATGGAAATATAAAACTGTAACTATGAGTAAAGATAAACCATTGCACTTCCCAGGCTCTTCTTTCAATAAAAAAACGAATATTTATAACAAATTTCTTTCACAGTTTCAAGATATTCTTTTATTATGACACAAAAATCGTGAATAATTTTGGATATGAAACAAAACAGACACACTGCTTAGGAATATGTTCCCCATTTTGGACATCAAAAGGTCAAGGCTCTTTGGGAGATTTTTGCATTACAACATACACCTGATTGCTGTCACATCTACAGGAAGATAAGCACAATTTTGTCAGTGTACAAAAAAAAAGAAAACAGAGCAAACTATTTAATGTAATATAAATTACTTACTGAATACTATCTATATATCCTATGATTTCTGACACTAGAAAATACAATACTATACAGTTAATTTGTCCCGTGTTCATTATAGACGCGGCCCGATTCTCATGGCGATTTACTATGTTTAAGTATGTGATTTTAAAAGAACAGAAATGTCATTCACATATAATTCTATAACACGATATTTACACGTTTATGAAAAATAAAAATGCAGGTTTGTATTATAAAAGGAAATGAGAGAAAAACTATTTAAATAAGTCTCAGTATGGATAAAAAACAAAAAAAAACAAGGATGCCTTTCAGATTATCATGGCAATTAAATTAAAAGACACTTAAATAAAGTAGTGATAAGATACCTTTGATAAAAACATTATAACATGATTTTGAATGTAGTATTTTGTATCTCAGGCTTGTATTAGAAAACGGTTAGTCTCCAATTTTGTAAACATTACATCTTGTAAAGACAGGAGAAACATGTTCTGACAGTTTTTAATATTTTAACAATAGATTTTCTTACCAATTGTCATTTTTTTAACGCACCTGTAACAAAAAGCTGAGTAATGTCCATCAGACATGGCAAACCCAGTGGCACTTCTCAGTAATTGAGGCCCTCAAAAGGGCCCCGCCACCCCCGCCCAAATGCTCAAAACACTCTGATGAGACCAGAGTGTCATGTGTGGTGAGCTGCACTGCACGCACAGCAATCACAGCTTCTTCTCCTAAAAGTCTTGCTCTTATAAATACTGAGGTAAAGAGGAGAATACTGAGCTGTTGGAACGAAGGTTTGGGCTTTTCTGAGTGGTTGTCGTCACTTAAGGCCTCAGATGTGCTTCTGTCTGTAATCTGTGATGGCCTTCCATAGTTTACAAAGGATCCCGCCTCTGACAAGAGAAAGAGAAAAGACATTACGACATACAAGGAGCAGTATGCTGCTACTCGGACATAAACATGCATGCATTTTAAGACACTTCTCTTCTCCAGAAAGCACTTTCCTGTCTGTACTACTAGATGCACAACACCCTGATCTGTCAATCAATGAAGCAAGGTTTTTACACAATGCAGAGTATTTTTAAGACACTTTTAATACCGCAAATAATGTAATCTAAACCGGTTTCACAAAATTAGCCAGGGTATGAAAGCAGTAAGAAAGAAAACAATGACTTCTCTTTAATTATATGACCAATTAAATTAATGCAACATGGTTCTGATAAGTTGCAGAAAAATAATTTGATTCATTTAAAACAAGTTGCTACCTGCTGAAGCCAACAGCAGTGACAATGTTGGCTTCATCAGTAATTGTTTTCAACATGTTTAACTCTTGCGTGAACATGATATTCTATGAGATAGTATAAAATAAATAAAAAGGAGATTAAAAAAGGAGATGAAAACAGTAGTACAAGTAGCCTGTTAATACACATGTCTAAACTATGGAAACCTTATATGATTTATGAGAAATGAAGCTTCCACTGTGGATCCCTTCACTGCCGAGTTACCCGGAGAAAACCTAAGGTGAGGTTGACAAAGAGTTGTCTGGGCCTCACCACTCTTTGGATATCCACAAAGCTTTTCAAATGCCAGTTTCAAGTGAAGTGAAACGTTGAACTGACAAAAAAAAAACGAAAAATAAATACCTCAGTCTTAAACCTTTCAGATCATCTCTTGTTACATCGTGGAGAATGTTGTTCAACGTGTATTCCTCGTTCAGTATCTGCAGAAACAAAATGCATGAAATGAGGGTGAAAAGGGTCACACGAGATTCAACAAGTCAAGCGTTGGCTGTACAATGCCGTACCAACTTTTATCTGATTGTTTAATCTAGTTTCACACCTCTCAGTAACACAGTTTCAAAAGGGCTTCATTGAAAACTTCCTCTTACTCACGGAAGTACTGACATCACAACTACAGCTGTAGTCTCTCAAGGATTGTTCTGTATTTTTCGGCCACTGTGTGACCTTAACCAACAAAGGTTACTCTGGTCGGGCTCCAGAGTGAAATCAGCGACTCACTCGGTCTACGGAGTCCTGGTCAGCGCCGTACAGCCTGAGCCAGCTGGTCATCTCCGTGTCCTCACGTCTCTCTGCGGGTGGACTCCTCTGTCCCTCGGGGAGACCTGGCGATGGGGGGACGTCTGTGGGAGGATACAGAGAACAGATTTCTTTAGACACACCGGACCCATTTGTCCAAAATAAAATCCTTCTGCAGCTTTGTAGCTCTGCAACATTGACTATTGGAATTTCAGGGGACATCTTTCTCATTATATGGTTCAACTTCAAATCCATCTCATGTAGCAACACAAGTCAGTCCATATAACAGCAAACGGTACGTTATTGTCATTCGCTTATACTGTAACTAACACAGCTTCATTTCTAGGTGTGCAATGCAATTAACGATAGTGCTGCAAATATATCCCAAATTACGGAAATTAATTAAATTGCAGCAATACATTGGCTCTTTCTCTGCACTTTTCTGTGATGATGTTTTTACAACAGATCAACGTAAAGAGGAGTCGCCTCAATGAGGAGCAGCTGGCTGTGCACGCATAAGTGCAAAAGCAGACTGGAAGTAAAGGCCAAAGTGTTGCAAACAGTCAGATTGAAGTCCACACCTGCGGGCTCAGATCGCAGCCTCAGTAGTCTGATCTCCTGCTCTCTCTCCGCCAGCACCTGTTGCAGGATGGCCTGATACTCTCTCTCCTTCTCCAGCAGCTGCTCCATCAGCCTGGAGTCAAACGAGTTGGGGGCGGCACACGTAAATGAATCAATAAAGCGTATGAAAGCTAACAGGAATGACAGCTCTAAACGAGTCCGATCACAGCGTGTGTTGTCTTGACTACCTGCTGGTCTCAAGCTTCATCCGGCCCAGCTCCATGCTCACGGAGCGCTGTGCATTGTGGGACTCGCGCGAGACGCTGGAGCTGAGCGTGCTGACTCCGGAGGTGGCCACGGTGTCGTCGTGAGCCGCGACGGTGGGCGCCCGGCTTGGGTGGGCGGAGCTTCTCTCCGGCTCGCCGTCGTCGTCAGCGTCCTCCTGCTCGGCCGGGTCGCTCTCGGAGGCCAGGCTGAAGTGAGGCCGCAGCTCTGCACACGGACGCAAGGCGCTGCTTTAATGATTTACTTTGGTGATTATGTATCGTGTGGTGGAAACTGAAAGGGTCATGTACTGTACGTATGTGTAATTTCGATTGAGTCCGAGAGGTAAAACTTCAAAAATGTTGTTGATCAACTCATCAATCAAAATCCACACGTTTTGGTCATTCAGTCATTTCTGGGTTTCAGCTCGTCAAATGTGAGGATTTTCTCTGTTTAATGTCTTTGTAAATTATACTTTGTGTGGTTATAGATTGTTGGATTAAAAATTCTGTAAGGAATACTGTAAAAAATATTATATATTATTTTACAGACAGAAGATATATAGAATTATTACAGAAAAAGTAACAATGCATAATAGGTTGAATCTTAATTAATATTATTTATATTGTTTGCGTTAGTGAGTCGTTTTTATCCATAGTTTACACATTTAATTAGTATTTTCATCCGGTGCCAACAATGACTACTTTCATCTGTTTGTTATAATAATGTTCAATGATAGTGATTCCAATATATTTCAACTTTTAAACAGAAATGAACTAGTGTGAGTGCAGGCCTTTGCCATGTCGATTAGATTTGCAAAAAATGTTCACATGTTCAAAGTCATTGCTGTGTCCTTTAGAGCTTTTGCTAAGTCACATTGATTCATGGTGCTGAGATTTGTTGCTTTGTTTCCTTGTGGTGAACAGGTCTCATTGGGCAAGCTGCTGCAAAAAGCATGCAGTCGTGCTAATATGTTAACTCGGCTTCTATAAAAAACGTAAACTACTCTGCTGTGTCCACGTAGAGGACATCAATGTCTTCGGCTGTCACCACAGAAGGTCTCCGGCTCCCGCATGTCTGCCGTTCAGCAGAGAGCTGTGATTACTGTGGAGTCCAGGGGGAACTCCCACAGTCATCCCCTGACAGACCAGTGATAATGTCTTTAGAGGTCTCTGCTCGGGACCCTAATTACGTTACCTGGCACCAGGATGGTGATGGCAGTCTGCACGGCTTTGCGAGCGATGTTGTCCAGAGCGAACATCCAGTGGGGCTTGATGTTGTGGTTTCGTAGCACTTTGTTTACCTGAACACGTACAGTTTTGTAGTTAGAAGGGTGTAAAATTTTGTTGGTCTATTTA